AGTTATAGAGTTATTAATATTTGATATATAAGTCGCTCTCATAAACACGGTGTTAGAAAATCAAATTAGTTTTCACTTCAAACTTTTTATTCTAATTCAATGGAGTTTTAAGATTATACAGTTGTCAATCTGAACACACATGAAGCACACGTGGGCTAAAAGGCCAGGTCAGAGAATCCTATATAGAATTCAGATATAGTCGCCTCAATTTTTGAACCACTACGGAGAGGAAGACAGTACAGTCCAGGTATCTGAGCTGATTAACTGGAATGAGTGTCACTTTTATAACGCGCCCACAAATGAAAGTACAAAATGTATTCAGCAGCATCACGTAATGTGCGCTCCAACTATTAGACCAGGTTGAAGCGAGAATTACATTGCTACAAGCAAATGTTTTTGTGTCCTAAAATACTTATAATAGCATATACAGAATAGTAAGATCGTATAATAGTAAGTATACAGAATAGTAAGATCGTAGAATAGTAAGTATACAGAATAGTAAGATCGTAGAACAGTAAGTATACAGAATAGTAAGATCGACAAGGTTTGAAGAAATATTTGCACACAAATTACATTATTCCAAATTATTTCATGTATGATACATTTAAATGGTGCCAATCACAAATCTCAAAGGTAAAATAGATTACATATTCTATTTGTACGAGTATTTTTTATTTTTCAGCTACATATAATACCATGAATTTCATAAATTTATCTTTGCATACAGTCCAATTATAAAGCAGGTGAAACGGACAAGAAAATAGTAATGAACTGCAGAAAATCATATAAAAAGCTGATGTTATGGACATAACATCAGCTTTTATATGATTTTCCGCAGTTCAATTTTATTTTACTCTACATTTCATGTACGTTATGATTTGTCTCTAGACATGACATCAGCTTTGTATATGATTTTCTGCAGTTCAATTTTATTTTACTGTTCATTTCGTGTACGTTATGATTTAACTCTAGACATAACATCAGCTTTCTATATGATTTTCTACAGTTCAATTTTATTTTACTGTTCATTTCATGTACGTCATGATTAGAGTCTAAAAGAGTCTAATCATAACGTACACGAAATGAACAGTAAAATAAAATTGAACTGCAGAAAATCATATAAAAAGCTGATGTTATGTCTAGAGTCAAATCATAACGTATATGAAATGAACAGTAAAATAAAATTGAACTGCAGAAAATCATATAAAAAGCTGATGTTATGTCCAGAGTCTAATCATAATGCACTTGAAACGAACAGTAAAATATCAGTAAATCATAATGAAAAGCTGACATTGGGAAATGATGGACTCATTTTTATACCATGTAGCTAGGTTTTAAAGTATGTAACTAAATATTTGATATTGTTGTTACATCCATGTAATATACACATATATATATAGTTGGAAACAAAGTGATGAGCTAAGCAATACTTCGATTATAACTGAAGGATAGCTGGTTCTAACGCGTGTTTTACGAACCCTACACGCTACTAGCAACATTAGTTGGTTTTACTCCCTCCCGACCGAAAAGGTCTGACGAGGAACAATATAGCGATGACGTTTTCCATCCGGTGCCCAAATATGGTCAGTGGCTTGCGTGTCGTACTACAAATCTGTGGTCCATCATTTGGTCCCATTAGATGAACAACATAAAAAATTGTTGTCCGCACTTTGGGGCCGTTGTTGCGTTTAAATAATTGTTAATTTACTGAAAGCATTTGTAACTTTCCAATATCTCTTAACGGGAAGTACATATGAAGTTATTTAGCATATGTAGAATTTGATAGCTCCAAGTGCTGCCCGGATATAAAGATGGTTTGTTTGTTTAAAGATTTCGCGCAAAATTACAGTTGTTCTCTTAGCGCACCTACGACTCCAAAGTACAGAACAAGTTCCTATGGCAACGGGTCGCGAACCACGAATCTTCACACTCACAGATCGAGCGCCTAGAGTTAATATATATTTATGCATTTATAAACTATAAATATAGATTGATCTTGATTCATATCATCAAGTATGGAACTCTTCTACAACAGATTTTTGATTTAGTTCTTAATAACTGTGAAATATGAGAGCAATTGGGCATATATTCTATCTAGTCCAGAGGTTCGAGAAGTTACTCCTGGTTAGTCCAAAATACAAGTCACTGTGTTGTTTTTTTGCGGTGGCGAGCGAAAGCTGGTGAGCTAGGACTGTTAGGTGATTCGCGGGATGTTTTGCTCTGCTGAAGTGGTCCGTTGCCCAAAACGTTTGTGAACCACTGTTTTAGTCATATGGAACACGAAGCGACTTATTTTAATGCGGTAATGCCCCAAGAGATGTCACTACCAGCATCTCTCGGTATTAATAATACGTAGAAAAGAAAATAACCACTAACAATTGCTAGGAAATCACTAAACATGATACTTTTTATACTTGATCATCACATTTCTCTTCTCTCACAAACAAGAATCGGTTAAAATCAAAGTTATGAGGTTCAGTTTTTAATTGTAATGTTTCCTTTAAAAAATGCATTGGATTATTTCGGTATTTTTTATATTTATTTTATGTTCTTAAATCTTCCAGTTTTCATAAAAAGATCTTCTTGTACGTATTTTTACAATATATATATATTTATATATGGATCGCTAATTATGGAATTTACAGATTTTTTAGGTTCGGTTAAATATATTTACTATTGTTGCTGCAGAGTTTTTGCTTTTCACCAGTTCTTTTTGGAACTGAAGGCCCGCCCAGTGCGGGAAGAGGAAAGACAAGCGATTTGACTACCTTTACAACAGCGTTAATCATGCTCCTTGTGACACGCACGTGACTTATGTGAGGATATATATTATATATATATATAATCTGTAGATCGAGCGTGGCCTTGTGATTAGCGTACCAGACTGTGAATCTTATGTTCAATAGTTCGCGTCATCACAAAACCGCGCTATGGAACAGTAGGTGTGTTATAGGAGTGGCGGTCTAATCCTACTATTTGACTGGAATATCTCGAAAGAATTGTGGAGAATGTGTTAACATTTTCGCCACATGACAAAAAACCCTCCAAAAACCGTGTTTTTATAGATATAGATGGGTAGAAAAATACACAATAATGTTTTCAATTATTTTTCTGATAGAATTAATAAGAAATGTGACATATCTTTTCATTAAGTAGTGCAGGAAAATCGGGTATAAAATCAGTTAGACTACATCTCAACTCCAAATTTTCGTTCAATATCTGCGACAAATAGTTTGATTTCCCCATTAACAAACGGCTCTTAATTTCATCGCTGGACAAATTTGCAGCCACTGGAAATGGATAGTTTTATTTGTTTATTGAGTTTCACCCAAAGCTACTCGAGGGTTATCTGACGTAACCGTCCCTAATTTTGTGATAGACTAGTGGGAAGGCAACTGGTTAACATCACCCACCGTCAGCTTGTGGGTTACCCTTTACCAACGAATAGTGAGATTGACTATTACTTTATAACGACGCCACGGCTGAAGGGGCGAGTGCGTTCGGGGACGGGATTCGATCCCGCGACTCAGGCCCAGAGTGAAGAGATATCATTATCGTTATCATTCCAAAACTTGTTTAAACGTAAACATTTTTTAATGCTTCAACTAACCATTTTGATTTTATTTCTTTCTTTTTGTTTTCATTCCTTTGTTTTGTTTTTAAAGTTAAGGAAATTCTAATCTGACACATACACGACTTGAACACGTGTGAATTAAGCAACATATCGTTTCGTCGTCTCCTTAGTAACTGCCTTAAGTAAAAACACTTGAAACATTAGATGGTAAATTCTCTCAGTTAAACTGCGGAGGCAAATAATTTAATAGTATAGAAGTTGGTGTAAATAGTAATTTAATAGTATAGAAGTTGGTGTAAATAGTAATTTAATAGTATAGAAGTTGGTGTAAATAGTAATTTAATAGTATAGAAGTTGGTGTAAATAGTAATTTAATAGTACAGAAGTTGGTGTAAATAGTAATTTAATAATATAAAAGTTGATGTAAATAGTAATTTAATAGTATAGAAGTTGGTGTAAATAGTAATTTAATAGTATAAAAATTGGTGTAAATAGTAATTTAATAGTATAGAAGTTGGTGTAAATAGTAATTTAATAGTATAAAAGTTGGTGTAAATAGTAATTTAATAGTATAAAAGTTGGTGTAAATAGTAATTTAATAGTATAGAAGTTGGTGTAAATAGTAATTTAATAGTATAAAAGTTGGTGTAAATATTAATTTAATAGTATAAAAGTTGGTGTAAATAGTAATTTAATAGTATAAAAGTTGGTGTAAATATTCACTTGAACTGAAATAAATAAATATGAAATGGGAAACAGCTGAATCAAAACCAAATCGGTGATGACATGCGCACTATCACCAAATACATAACGTCTGTGGTTGTTTAAGAGTAAAGCCACATCGGACTATTTGCTGTGTCCACCGCGTTGAATGGAACTCTGGATTTTAGCGTTGTAAGTCTGTAAACTTTCCACTGTCCCATCCAGGGACCATAACGTGTAATATGAGAAGATTGACGTACTACGTAAGAAATTAACATCTTGTAAATTTCTGGAATTTTTCTCCAACTTGTTGGTATATTAAACAACACAAAGTACTATATATTTGTTTTTGTTGTACTTAGAGCTTTCGCGCATGGCTACTGACCTTATAATGGATTTTCACTGTTAATATTATAACGTACCCACTGCTCCAAAGTGCGAACTGCGTTTTTATCGGCTAAGGGAAATGAACCATGAACCCGCGGATTCACAGTCCGGATATGCTAAATGTGGCCTAGGACAAAAACTGCTTATGGTATTCCCAGTTACCCTGGAAACTTGTCACGCTGTGTACACGTCGTTGTAAAATAAGCTAACTTGCTTTGCGGAACTAGTGCGGGTTCACTGCAGTCTTCCGGTCACGTGACAGCGTACTTTCTCTTTTTTTTTCTTCATAGTAAGAATTTGAGACCTTACACCAGCAGCCCTAACGTTCAGCAATTTGTATTTTTGCATTAAAGCATTTAAGCTCCTGATTTTGTTACTTATCTTGGAACATTGTACTTCAGCCCCAGTGGTTTTCGTAATCTGCTACAAACCAGTTGATGAGTCGAACGAATAGAACGACCGATCGTGCAGGATCCAGATCATTTGGATTGGTGGATACGTATCCGTATATGTATTAATATTGTATTATAAGATCATCTTAAAATATATAGTTTGTGCATGTTCTGTAACGCTATGTCATAGCATTTGAAGTATGTAAAAAAACAATAAAATTATAAGAACGGTCTACACATTTTGAAGTAAAAAACTTGTAAAAAAAAGAAAGATAAAGACATAATGTTAGCTAAATGTTGCTTAACTTGAATTGAAGATTTTGCCGATAGATAGAATGGTGGTTGTTAGAAAAGTCTGTTGTTCTTGTGTAACGTCGACTCCAATAAAACTGTCATGGTAGCTACATAGAATACAGTTAAACGACGACACAGGTAACTCAAAGGTACAAGAGTTGTGAGCTGGACATGGCTACAGATTAACATGCTCGGACTGTGAGTCAGAGTATTTTTAGCTCGCATCCTTTTGCTGCAAACATACCTCGTACCTTGGAGCCATGGATAAACTATAGGAGTGATTGTTAAATCCCTCTGTATTGCGTCAAACAAAAGTAGCTCATGAACTGATGATGTTGACTAACATTGTTTTCTTTAGACTATCAGTTTAAAATTGTGGCTTTGTACAAATACTCTAAATAAATTAGACACAAAATTTGTGTTTTTTTAGACGTGTGCTGAACAACACAGCGAAAGAAAAGACAACAAACTCTCAAGTCTTCAGACATACTGAACAACGTTCTCTTGTTGCATTTGAAAGCCGATGATGTAATTAACACGTGTTTCTTCGAGCAAGACTGGACATCACCAAATTTTGTATTTACAAACGTAGAGATGCTGGAAATTGAAAGCTGTCGGTGTAAATGACACGTGTATCTTCTCGCAAGAAGAGACAACACGATCTAATAAACAGATCGATAGAAAAATGTCTTGTGCTTCACGACCTCAAAATTTAACGCTGTTGGACTTTGTTGACCTTGGGGACGGGACCATTGAGGTCAACGAGGGAGGGGGGATAATCAAATCTGCAGTTCACCTACACATGCCGACATATTCCAGAGCGTGTGCTTGTCAATGTGTTTGACAAAGGACGAAGACGCCCGCATAATTGTATTGAGGTTGACAGGGTCATTTGTAAATGTATGAAATTCGAGATTTTGTACCTTATCATGTGTTTTCTATCTTTCTTCCTTTAGAGGTTATTACGTTTTAAAATATATAAAACCATCCGTACATACCCTCATTCAGTTTACTGTAAGATATATTTTTGATATTTCAATTCAGATATTTGTTTGCTTGAAGAAGCATGTCACCATATAATTATGAAGCAATATCTAGAAATCTAATTAATCTAGGATCTAGAAACTTCATAGTATGTATAATTAAGAGCACAATATAAATACCAGACTGAGTGAGTTGTTCAGCTAATGGGTTTTTAACCTCAGTGCGAGTACTGAGTTAGGCAATATATCACTTAAACATCGAGTTAGTCAGCGTGGTTGTTAATGAATGATTAATGAAAACATTCTGCAAGTAAGTGTATTTGTAAGTTAGGCGTGCATTAGTTTCGGAATTTCTATTGAAATTTTGTTTGTGAATCTAGGCCCACCAGTCAACGTAGTTTGTAGCGATCGTTATTTAAGGAAAAATTCTTTATTATTAAGTGGACTGGACATTGAACTACTTTTACCAAATAATACAAAAAAAAACACATCCAACAATAGAACATGTTACAACACTGATGTCAGAAGTTGGATTATTCTGGTGTAAATAAAATAGAACTTTGACTATATTTCAACTTGAAGATAACAACGTGGACCTGAAGCGAGATTGAAAACTTGCTGAAAATAATGAAACAATGTAAAGAAGAACAAACAAAAAGAGACAGAGTATTAAAAGATGAACAAGAAGAAAGAGATAGGCAATTAAAAGAAAACCAACATGAATTTTATAGAAAATTTAAAGAAGATCAAGAGGAAAGAAATGGGAATTTAAGAGAGGAAGAAACATAATATTGAAAGAAGACAAAAACCAAGCCTGATTCAAGACAAGACCAAGAATATACTGGAGTATACTGGAGATTTACAGAGAGACTACAACAACAAGAATGTAAGAATCAATGAGATAGAAAATAAGGTGGATGACAGAGTAAAATATTTGGAAAATTGGCTGGTATGTGCAACTATAAGACCAGCCACACCATTTTTCTACATCTACTAACACATTTCAAATTAAAACACCATTTACTTTAAAATATTGAATAGGATAAACTATTTGTTCTCAAAATCCAGTATCAGAATCTAAGTTGCTAGTTCAGTTACATCACCCAATAGAGACACCAATGGACTATGATAGAAAGGTACCATAGAAAACATATCAGGCTCAATTCGAACTAATTTCAAAAGTGAATGGGTGGAATAGTGTACAACAAGCCATCCATAGGGTTGCCAGTTTAAAACGACCACCTTTAACTACACTAAGCAACCTTTCAACTGAGAGCTTAACAACTATTACCTTTGGTAGTTGTCTTATTCCACAGGGTTGGAGTGACAAAGCAAAGGGAGGCATCCACAACAAAGATCCAGAACAGGGCATGGGGGTAAGGTAGGAAATTACTTTTAGAGATGGAGAAAAAAGATGGATTAATGTGAACAGCAATTGGATGTAAAGTTTAAGGAAAAGGAAAGTTGGAAGTTTACTCTTGCTGTGAGAAGTTTCTCTACACCCCATAATGTATGAGTAAATGACATCGAGGAACAGGTACATATTGGAGATGTATGCGGGGTGAGGCTGGTATCGAAACAGCATCGCGTTCTATAAATAGGAAATTACTTTGCACTACATGACAATTACTACACAACCGACTGAACTTCCAGTGATAACAAGGAGGACAATTATTGTACCACCAACAAGTGAAATGCCCATACCAGGACTTATTAAAGTATATTTACATCTAATGACTGGTCATAACAGAATCAAACACTCCAGTATATCCTGATGGATTAATGGCTGGATCTGAAGAATACAAATGCCGTCATTAGAGCTATGAACCTAACAAACAATAAAATACGAATTAAGGTTGGATGGAACATTGCAAGATGTGAAGGTAGCATTTCCACATAAGAAAACATAAGTTGTAGACATCTCTGAGACAAGATGTAGGAAGTCTGATGTCAAATCCTCACATAAGGGTAGCTTAACACCTCACTTATAAAAGCTGTATGAGCAGAATTGTGGATATCTTACAGCTGATCAATGCCATAGATTACATGAATTGCTTTTGGAATATCAAGATATCTTGTCCAATGGCTCTCATGGCTTATGCTGAACAAATGAAATATTTCAAAGGATTGAGAGTGGATATGAAGCCACAATACATTAATTAGCCACTTGATAACCAGTGCAAAACAAGCTGAGGCTTTTAAAGAGATAGAAGCCATAAAACAACAAGGAACTGAGTGCTGATCCATTGACATCATCTACTGAACTTGTGAAGAAGGAAAATTGATCTACAATGTTCTGCATGGACTACTGGAGGTGAATGAAATCACAAAGAAGGATGCCTACCCATTGCCAAAAACTGATTCTACTTTGCTTACGTTATCTGAAGAGTTGATATTGGCAAGTGCATATCAACGAAGCAGTTAGAAAGAAGACAGCTTCTACTGCAGGAAATGGATTGTGGCAATTTGTTGTGTAATCACTTAGATTACGTAATTCACTTGCTGTATTTCAATGGTTAATGGAAATTTGGACGACATAATCACACGTGAATTTATCTTTCATAATGTTTATGATGAGTTATGGAAAGTTTTGGATCACCAAATGGCCAGAAGCATCTGCTGCTTCTAACCAGGAAGCCAAAATTCTAGCAAGGAAACTCATCAATGAATTTGTCTCAACAATTGGGGTGCTTCAGAACTTCACTCAGATCATAGATGGACTTTGAATCGACCAGTTTGCAAACGATAGTGAGCTAGACAGTGAATCAGTAAGGAAGCGGACCAACTTTTTAATAATCATATGTATGTGTTAAAATTTCATTTATTTTTCACCAGAGGTGAAATTGAAAATAGTATTTATGACGTAGAGGCCTAATGTGATCACTTCTATTAAGAATGCTAATCGTGAAGCAAGATTTGTTAAGTTACTTGTTCTGCTTTCCAGAAAATAACATTTACTGATCGTAAAAAGAGAATGTAGTATAACCGTTATACATTTATTATTGTTGTTTCTTATTTTCTTTCAAAGACACAAACTGTCTTCTCAGAACCACTTTTCTTTTCAGGTTTGTGAAGATTGGCTTCATTTTATCTTGTAAATCGCTTGGCTTGCTGGTTGAGAAACGATGGTTGATACAACGACAATGGCGACCACTGAGATGTTGAACGTTACAGAAACAGAACCATCTTTAATGCACGAACATAAAGAGTTTATGTACTTTGCTGCCTTTTGCATTATCGTATCGATTATTGTTGGCTTGAGCGGTAACCTATTGACCATCGTGGCACTAGTACAGTGTCCAAGAGTACGCAGTGCCCCAGTTGCTTTCATCATTAGCCTCTGCATTGCTGATTTTTTGTTCTGTGCTTTGAGCTTACCATTCAGTGCTTCTGGATTTATCCACCAGAGATGGATCCATGGTGACGTCCTGTGCGTCATATTCCCCTTCATGCGGTATGTCAATGTCGGGTTGTCCCTGCTGTCCATCACGGCGATCACCATTAATCGTTATGTCCTTATCGCCCACCAGAATCTCTATGAAAAGATCTACCGTAAACGTTACATATCACTCATGATTGCCGCAGTTTGGCTGTTCTCCTTCGCTATGTTGTTACCTACACTAATAGGCGCATGGGGGCGCTTTGGCTACGACAAGAAGATTCTAAGCTGTTCCATCCTGAAAGTAAACGGCCGATCTTCAAAGACATTCTTGTTCATCTTTGGTTTCCTCATCCCCTGTATCACCATCATCGTTTGTTATGCCCGTATTTTCTGGGTGATAAAAAGGAGTGCCAACCGAGTTCGTGGCCACAGTAACTCGGAAACAAAGGAACAGAAGAAAGACCGGGATGCAAAGAAAAAGAAAGAGGAATGGCGCGTGACACGAATGGTTCTCATAATTTTCTGCTCTTTTCTCGTTTGTTACCTTCCTATTACTATTGTAAAGGTAAGTATCATTATTGTAGTATAATGTACTTGAACTCAAACTTATACATAGCAACTATATCTTATTGTAGATTTTTTTTCTAAGACAATTTTGGATAAGAATGAAAGGATCTGATATAATATTCATGTCTTTACTGATACATCACATATTTCATCACAGATAATCTGCATATCAGCAACATGGGGATGCCAAAAGATAGTAATATAGCAAAATTGACAGCAAATTCAGAGTTTTCGAAAGTCTTTCTTTAGTAAGAACTATACGTACAAAGCTAAATAAACAAATAGAATGTTCGGAACTACTACAGTGGATGGATGGGACACAACACAAACTCACGAATCTTCAAGATTTGAATATTTTCCTGTAATCGAAGTTATTCTTGGTGGCTACAAAGCGAGCAATATAATGGGAAAAGTTCGACGATATGAGCCTACAGTACCCTAGTGGGTAATCAGTACAGTAGCCTAGTGAGTAATCGGTACACTACCCCAGTGGGTAATCAGTACAGTACCACAGTGGGTAATCAGTACAGTACCCCAGTGGGTAATCAGTACAGTACCCTAATGGGTAATCGGTACAGTACCCCAGTGGGTAATCAGTACAGTACCCCAGTGGGTAATCAGTACAGTACCCTAATGGGTATTCAGTACAGTACCCCAGTGGGTAATCAGTACAGTACCACAGTGGGTAATCGGTACAGCACCCCAGTGGGTAATCAGTACAGTACCCTAATGGGTAATCAGTACAGTACCCCAGTGGGTAATCAGTACAGTACCCCAGTGGGTAATCAGTACAGTACTCTAATGGGTAATCAGTACAGTACCCCAGTGGGTAATCAGTACAGTACCCTAATGGGTAATCAGTACAGTACCCCAGTGGGTAATCAGTACAGTACCCCTAATGGGTAATCAGTACAGTACCCTAGTGGGTAATCAGTAAGTTCATGAACTTACAACACTGAAATTCATAGTTCGATTTCCCGCGGTAAACAGACTTCAAATAGTTCAGTGTGTAGCTTTACACGAGGAAAAAACATAAGCCTACGACCAAATTCAAGGGTGCTGAAACTAGGTGTACAACAACACCACCTTGTTCGAAGTACAAGGGTGCTGAAACTAGGTGTATAACAGTACCACCTTGTTCGAAGTACAAGGGTGCTGAAACTAAGTGTACACCAGCACCACCTTGTTCGAAGTATAAGGGTGCTGAAACTAGGTGTACAACAGCACCACCTTGTTCGAAGTACAAGGGTGCTGAAACTAGGTGTACACCAGCACCACCTTGTTCGAAGTGCAAGGGTGCTAATACAATACTAGCTTCGATCATTTAGATAGTTTGTAGTTTTCTTAATTGAACGTCCTTCAGCTTCTCCACTACAAAAATAAAGGAAACATTAAAACAAGGGAGAGAAATTTCCTGGCATAGTATTTTTCTATGATTCATGAGCTTGGGGGGACCGGGCGTGGTCTCTCGTGATTAGTGTGCCGGATTGTGAACCCATGGTTCACAGTTCAATTACCTCAAAAACACTCTCCACACTTTGTGATGGCCCGGCATGGCCAGCTGGTTAAGGCGTTCGACTCGCAATCTGCGGGTCGCGGGTTCTAATCCCCGTCACACCAAACATGCTCACCCTTTCAGCCGTGAGGGCGTTATATAGTGACCATCAATCCCACTATTCGTTGGTAAAAGATTAGCCCAAAGAGTTGGCAGTGGGTAGGTGATGACTAGCTGCCTTCCATCTAGTCTTACACTGCTAAAATTGGGGACGCTAGCGCAGATAGCCCT